GGCCTGCTGTGTTCATCCAGCTCTACACCTTGTTATCTCTAATACTTTAAGTAGTCTAGCCAGATCTGGCAGTGAATAGTTAGACCAGATACCTGCCAGGTCTATTTAACACTGGATCCTTTGGACTAAAGGGAATGGAGAGAAGGGATGTACATATAGAAACAACCAGGGTGAGATACGGTAATACTCTAATTGAAGTTAATGCTTAGATAAGGCTGGTTTTGAGGAATAGCATCTGCAACATTATTACAGCACATTAATAATGCTCAAATAGAACATATTAGGATTTAAATTTTTGAATCAAATGATAGCAAGTATAAAATGTAATTAATTTATCCAATGAAAAGGCACATTTGATATCAGAAAATACAAGTTTTATCTGACATGTGTACCACATATTAGTGAACATGATATTGGATCCTTACTGTAACCCATTAGCTCTCCTCCAGGTGCCTCTGCGACAATGAAATATTCTGGCCAATGAGCGAGATACTGCAGGTAAAAGGGTATTCCATACTACACACTTAAGAAAAATAACCACGAAGAAAAGCCTAACAATAAAGGTCAGATTTATAATAAATCAACCATATAACAAAATACATTCCATAAATATAACTTTATTTGTTATAGTTTGCAGTTTTTTTTAACATGTCAAAGGAAGCTAATTAAATGCAATTTTTCACTGCAAACTACTCTCTTACATGTCTGGTTTCTAAAATAGCAAATACTCCTGTTTTCCTACCTCAGATCAACATGCAAGAGATGGGGACATAGCAGAAGATCACTGACCTAATAATCCAGAGACCCTTGCCAATGCTGTGGGGCCACTGTTTAAATTCCACAGGTAGAATTTCAATTCAATTGATAAATCTGGAATTGAAAACTAAGCTCAGTAATGGTGACCATGATGTTGTCATCGGTCATCAGAAAAATGATCTGTCTGGTTCACTAATATCCTTTAAAGGAGGGCAATGTGCCATCTTTACAGTCTGACCTACATATGACTCCAGACCCATAGGTTGACTGCTAACTCTGCTCTGAAATGGTCTAGCAAGCTGTTCAATTCAAAGATCAAGGAATGGCTACCAAACAGTACTAACAACGATGCTGATCAGTGTTTGTACTTTCAAGAGTTCGTAACCTAAAATGGTAAAATATCAAAGTTGAATGTAGTAGAAGTTCAATGCTGTCCCCAAATGGCTAGATGTCATGGAACCAACTCTACACTGAGCAAAGAATCACAATGCCATACAAGTACAATAACTCAACAACTAGAGTTTGAGTGAAATGCTTTTGTAAACTATGGCTCTACCAGCGATTGTGTGAATGCATCAAGTCAAATTAATTAAAAAATCTCCACTGCACCACAAGGTGAAAGGAACTATACCAGCCAAATTAAGATGATGGTATGTCCAATTCAGGACAGGCCAAGGTAAATCCAATAATCAGGGCATGAGCTCATTGAATGGCAACATGTTATTTTATAGCACAACTTTTGAAGGTTGTAAGCACTTATGACATCAACTAAAGATGACTTAACAAATTCAATTAATCATAAAAGGACTAAAATATTCTGAATCCACCATTCACCAAGCATATTATTTATGTTAAGAAACCAGAAATGAACTAAACATGAACATAAAGCATTCTTAATAATGATTAACTAAAATAAAGGGCTAGCATATTAAATTCAATGGCATTGCATGTTACATTAAATCAAGATTCCCCACAGGAAATCAAGGATACGGTTTCCGTTAGCGGATCCAAATTTCTGCAATACAAAGAAAAGCAAATTACAAGAGGTTCAATCTCCCATTTTAAATATTAATCAGTATTAGAATCACATTACAGGCGTTTCTTTGGAAAAGCTCTAAGTAAAGCCACATATCGCTTTCATCACACAGGTATCACTTTCAAGAAATACATTTTGAAATAAACAAAATCACTGGGGCACAAACTTTGCAAAACCCTGGTCAATAAACTCTTCAAGACAATTCAACTTAATAGGATAAGGTGTGTGAACATCATGCAATGAATGAATTGTGTTCAGCAATACCACAGAGTCACATATTTTGCCAGCCATTAGGCAGGGTTTACAAGTGGCTTTCAGCTGGGATTTACGATAACAAGTAGAAACACTTTAGTTTCCTTCCTTCCTGACTAGACACAGGAACAATGGACAGAGACGAAGGCTAGCATTCGGCCCTTAGAACCTGTCTCGCTATTTGATAAGATTATGGCTGATCTGTCATGGTCTCAAGTTCACTTCCTGTCTTTCCCCATAACCCTCAAACCCCATCTATTAAAATCTATCTAACTCAGCTTTTCATTAAAGATAGGGAAAAGGATTCCACAGATTAATAATACTCTGAATTAGAAAGAAAACCCACTTCACTTATCCAGACTCTTTACAGACTCATCATCTATTTCCCTATCTATCTTAGTGTCATTAGCAAATTTAGCTGACATGTATTTGATCTCTTCTTCGATTTTGGATAGCAAATGTTTGAGGCCCCAAAATTGATCCATGTGGTGCTCTGCCAGTTATAGTTTACATGTGAGCCCTCTCATTAGTGCCTACTTTCACACTTTAGGCCCATCATCAAAAACATGCAGTTGATATTATAAGTCCACACATATCCAAGGAAGGAGCATGCTTCATGCCATCTATTATCTCTTGCTGGACACAACAGCTTTGGTGATTTCACCTTCCAAGAAAGCCAAACACAAAAGTCGAGAGAGTTTGATTGTACATTGCAACATGATTTTCCAACAGGGACACACAGTATATTTGCGAATATAATGGGAAGCTTTGTCAACAATACGCAACTAATTCAATTGTCTGCCTCCTCTGCACAGATACAGTAGCATTTTCTAGAAGTTAGCATGTACTGCAATGAAAGAATTCTGTACTTATTCCCATGTTACCATGTATCCAGGATAAAAGTGTTCTTGAGTATACAAATTTAAGGGTACGGCAATTAATTATGTAATTTCTGCAGGACAACAGCAGATTCATTTTTCTGAAAGAGAACAGTTCCCAGCACAAGGGGTACAAATTTCCCAAGTGCCTCAAGGCATTTGATTTTTACAAAGGCGTTTCCATTGTAAATTTTTTTTTGAAAAGTTTTGTTTAAGAGGAGTGTACATATTGGCTTGCAATGACATTTAACAGACTGAGGAGGTATGGACCTGTGCTTTTTTTAAAATGGGCACTGAAAGGACATTTGGGACCTTTTTCAAAAGACTCATACTGGAAATCATGACTTAAATTAATAGTTTGGACTTGTTCACTAAAAAAAAAAGACATTCCCGAGCTTAAGTTGTCGAAAACTGTGGCTACTGGGTATTGTCTGAAGCTCAGTTGGTAGGTAGTGTACTGAAATCAGTCACCCAGCACATCCACCTATTTTGAAAATTCTTCAGAGAATCCAGAGAGAGAGTAAAACATATAACAGCTATTCTCCTAACTTTCTGGAGAACTTCCTCTTGACATCTCCTGAACAAACTGCTTCTGAAAATATCCCAGTAACAACCGTATGTGTTTTATGACCTATCGACATGTGCTAGGATGCCAGCATCTGGATTGGTTCCAGTTACATTTTTTATCCCCCCCACAATTAACTATTATTTTTCCATGCTTTTGTGTGCATTAGCTCTCTGCAGAGAAAGTTTCTTGAATTTTGCTTTAATTGATGTGGAGATGTGTGCGCATGTGTTTTAGGTTATTTAGAAGGGTAGAAATTCATACTGTCGTATTCAAAGCTGTATGTTAATGACCTGTATTTTTATTGAATAAGTATTGCTTTATAATAAAATCAATAGAGTCATTATCGATTACAGAAACCCAGTTGAGGGAATGGAAAGATTAGCATTTATACACACTTGGCAAGTTTGATACAAAAACCAAAATTGCTGGAAAAGTTCAGCAGGTCTGGGATCATCTGTGGAGAGAAATCAGAGTTAACATTTTGGGTCCAGTGACCCTTCCTCAGAACTTGGCATATTGATTTTTTTTTTAAAACATATGTTGCATCCTAGCCAATTAGTGGAACTTCAGAACAATATTATGCACATCCCCACCTTGGTTGTAACAAAATGCAGTTGTTTCTGTACATTACTTAGAAACAAACTCATATGTTGCTGTTATATCCGAAACCCTCTGTTTCAATCCTCTCAATTCAGTTATTACGCATGTTACTGCACTGACTAAAGTCCAGGAAAGACCTCCATTGTGACCAGCAAGCCATGCCTGCTTGTTTTATTTTACCTTTCAACAGCACATAGCAGTTTATCATGCAGTTCCACTCCAGTTGCCTCCCTAGTGTCCAGATCTGAGAGATTAGCTTTGTGTGATGCACCAACCTCAGCTCCAGCAAACATTTTTCATGCCCTGCCAACTAGTCAACTCAAGAGTCATCCAATAGTAGGCCCTTATATAATTTTTTTCCACATGTTGGTCCTTGCCATTGTCCCTGTCTCTCACTCAGTGAGCAATATTGTGTACAATCTTAATGTTTGGCTCAATCTTTACATCTGCTCAATCACCAATACTGCAATATAACCAGCCTTCTAAACCTACTTCACGAGCTTCTGTCATTTTACTCAAGCTTTTCTCACATCAACCACTTTTGATGTTTCTTCATCTATTATTACTGTATGTTATTCCACCTTCTGTTACAAGACTCTGCATTGCGTAATGCATTAATGCCCATGAGAAAACAGACTTGTATTGTGGAGAACCAGAGGCCAAAAATTTAAGGTGATTCATAAAAAATCCAGAGACAAAGCAAGGAAAACTACTTCATGCAGTGTTACGACAATCTGGAAATTGATACCTAGAAGATTAATGGAAACATATTCAACAGCATCTTTCAAAGGGACATGTTTGAAGATGTAACATTAACAAAACTGTGGAGAAAGAGCAGGACAGGAGTGGAACTAATTGGATAAACATAGCAGTATAGATATAATAGGTCAATATCCTCCTGCTTCACTGATCCATTGCAACCATTCAGCATGTTAACACAGTCTCACTGAACAGTTTGCTCTCCCTGTACAGCAGTCACCACAGAAGGCTGTACAAGCTAAGTAAGTTTATCCAAGGCTGAGACAGACAGATTTGTGATCAATGTGGGAATCAACGGAAGCAGGGGAAAAGCAGGAAAGTGGAGTCGATTATTATCGAGTCAGTTATTATCTCATCGAGTGACAGAGCAGACTGATAGGAGGAGTAGGCCAGAAAGCCTACAGTCACGCTTGTGGCCCTGGATATTTCACCCTATAGATCAAAAACATAGAAAATAGGAGCAAGGAGTAGGCCATTCGGCTCTTCCAGCCTACTCAGTCATTCGATATAACCAACCAAATTAGAACCCTGTTCCCGCACTCTCCCTACACAATTTAATCCCTTTCGCCTTTAGAAGACTAACATTCCTGTCACACTGCAGTTTGCTCACATGTTGTTGAAGCGAAAAAGGTCGTCACAACAAAACGCACGTAAGGTGGTCATTTCAGCAGCGCACGTCCCAACCGACGACAATCTTTAACCTTTCCCCTTTCACCCCAGCTACGAGCGGAACTGACGCAGCGCACGAAAAACACAAAGCGCGACCCTCGGTTCGTCAGTAACCACGCCCCGTTAACGTCATGACCCCGATCCCATCACGGCCACGCCCCTCCGCGTTCCAGTCATCTCACCAGAATGGCCCCGCCAACGTTCCGGCTTTGATCCTGCAAAAGCGCTGCCTAGCCCCTACCCACTTCGACTCCAGCCGCGACCATCGCCCCGCTTTATGCTAACACCCCCATTTTTCCAAACCCCAGCATCGCCATCACCCCCGCTCCGCTGCACGTGCAGATTTGCCGCACCCGTAGATCCCGCCCCCGTCCTACACCAATCAGCAGCCTCGTCCCATCCCCAGCACCGCCCATTTGGCCCAGTGCCTCACACAGCCCCGCCCCAACACCACAACGGACACTGCACATAGCCCCGCCCTCTGACCCGCCATAGCCCCGCCCACCCACCGCACCGTCGTCCTCACGCCCCGCCCCGCCCTACGCATGCCGGCCCCAGCCCCGCCCCCAGAACGGCCTGGGCGCGCAAACGTAGCTCGCCCATCCCGATCACTCCTGATTCCCTCTGCCTCTGGGTCCTATCTTTCTTGAGCAGAAAACCACGAGGAGATTTAGTCGACCTCGATCAGTGATCGAGGGGTGGGTGGTTGAGTTATCAGTTTGATTTTCTGTGTATGATTCTGTCCCTGGGGTAGGGAGCAAAGGCAGCTAAGTCGTGCATTAGCCATCAGCTCATTGAACAGTGGAACAGATTTGTGGGAATATATACCTCCTGACCTTTGTGTAATCACTTGCTTTTGTTGCACATGCACGCACTTTAAAAATTTTTTTGGACTCAAGTTTGTAAACAGTTTTCTGGAGCCTTCTTGAAAAAGGTTTGGAGCAGAACTCAGCGGGCGTTTGAACAATGCAGTTAGTTAAAGAATATCATTCTGCCAACCCATACAGAATCCAAACTTGTTGCAAAAATAGAGCCAAATTTTCATCCACCATTCAGCTAAGTTCCTGGTTTTGCATACTACCCTCTGAAAATTGAGGTGTGATCTTCATTGTCAGAGTTGGGAAGGAATTAATGCCAGGTGTAGTCAGTGAGACAAACCTGAAAGTTCGAATACAGCCACTGGGACTGCTGGTTGTTGAGCCGAACTGTCTAAAAGATCCACCTCAGGGCTGTGGGACTTTGTAGATGAAATAAAAAATTACGTTCACAGAAGTGCCAGACAATGACCATCTCCTATAAGAAACAACCTAACCTTGACATTCAATAGTGTTACCATCACTAAATTCCCCACTATCAACATCCATGCATTACAATTGACTAGAAACTCAAGTGGACTTGTCACATAAACACAATGACTACAACAGCAGGTCAGAGGCAAGGAATATTGCGGCCAGTAACTCAGCTCCTGACTTGCCAGAGCCTGTCCACCATCTACAAGGCACAAGTCAGGACTGTGATAGAATTCCCACTTGCCTGGATGGGTGCAGCTCCAACAACACTCAATTTGTACCGCATCCACAAAACTCCACTCCCTCCACCACTGGCGCTCAGTAACAGCACAACAGAAATTCCTCAAAGATCCTCACGCAGCACCTTCGAAATCCATGACCACTTCCATCTAGAAGGACAAGGGCAGCAGATACATGGGAACACCACCACCTTCAAGTTTCCCTCCAACTCACTCATTATCTTGCCTTGGGAGTATTTTGCTGTTCCTTCACTGTTGCTGGGTCAAAATCGTGGAACCCCCTCCCTAACAGCATCGTGGGTCAACCTCCAGCATGTGGACTGCAGTGGTTCAAGAAGGCAGCTCACTACCACCTTCTCAAGAAAGCATAGGTTTAAGGTGAGAGGGGAAAGATTTAAAAGGGACCTGAGGGGCAATTTTTTCACACGGATGGTGGTGCGTGTATGGAATGATCTGCCAGAAGATGTGGTAGAGGTGGGTACAATTACAACATTGAAAAACCATCTGGATGGGTGAATGAATAGGAACGTTTTGGAGGGATATGAGCCAAATGCTGGCAAATGGGACCAGATTAATTTAGGATATGTGGTCGGAATGGACGAGTTGGACCAAAGGGTCTGTTTCCATGCTCGATGACTCTGTGACTATGACTAGGGATGGGCAATAAAATGCTGGCTTGCCAGCAATGCCCATGTCCCATGAGTGAATTAAAATATTTTAAAAAGTAAAAAACATTAAAACCCTACAGCCATCACCCCTCATGCCTCCATGACATTGGCTTAGCATACAGTAATCTGTTGAGCATTCATTAAGCACGAACCCAAAGTTACTAACACAAGAGGGCACCATTTATCAAGGATTATGAGTCTCTTTAAAAAAATTGCCATGTGTATACTTGTCACATAACAGCTAAAGAAAAATTGATATGAATTCCAAATAATCTGTGCTTCAGAACATTTATATGCACTGCCAATCTTAGCTGAGGTTGAGGAAAAGGAAGCAACTTCTATAACTTTACCTCATTTTCTTGTTTTAATCCTTAAAAGTTCAGAACTTGAGTATTGTTGAGAAAAGAAATCAACTAATGAAGCTTTTTTCTTCCACTGGTCAGGACAAACATAAGAATAACACATTTCAAAGGGAAATACAATTGATGCTGTGAGAGAAACAAGGTGCTGATTGGTTGGCAAGTGGACTCTGATTGGCCATGGCAGCAACTCCTTGATTCGCACTCTGTTTCTCATATCGCATAAATTGTTGTTCCCTTTGACATTTGTTATTCTTGTGTCATCAGTGTAAGGAACTTCAACAGCATATTTGGCTTTACAGTGATTATATTGTTACATTTATTCTGTTATTCGATAAATAAATTGCAAGTAATATTTCTTTGGAGTAATATTTCTTGGGGGAAACCTGTTAATGTAACAGCATGCTGAATAGTGATCCCTGCCATAAAACTAAATTAATTCTTCTGACTACACAGAACCCCAAGGTTTATGTTAGATCCCAAGGGAGACTCTGCAATCACAGAGTATGCAAGCGATTGAGAGAATGACAATATTGTTGTTCTCATTCTGTGGCTTATCATCCCTGCTCAGTAATGAGGGTTGGTGGTTGCACAATAGTGTTTGGGAAGTGGGAGTGCAGCAGAAGCACTGAATCAACCCTTAATACACAAAAGGGGCCAGGTGGATATCCAGTTGAAAAGCCAAGGGTCAAGATGCTGCATTTACATAGTGCCGTGTCCCCAAACAGTGACTGAAGTAACTGCACACAGGCTGGTATCCTCTCACCAAGTCACCCTTTATTTACTTTTGCACGTACACTGGCTGTGACCAGCCAGCTTGGAGTCAGTCCCTGAACTGAGGAGACTGTCATCTCCTGGTTATTTTAGTCAGCCAGGGCTCTCCTGATTGGCTGAGGTTGACAACCCCAATCAAGACCTCGTAGTCAATGAGGTCAACCTGGTTCCAGTCAGTGCTCCCATCCCCCACCCCCGCCACCACCAAGTCTGGGGATGTAGGCGTGGTCTTTGGATTGTAGCTTTTTCTGCCACGTTTACACCCCAAATCCGGTTCCTCTGATTCACACTCTGACATGGGTAGCCTGCACTGGACCATAGCCTGCCTCCTGCGTCCTGAGTGTCTTGGGAGAGTTTCCTCCTGTTCTTCCAGTGGTAACGGTATCGAGGCTGCATCCATCTCGGACTCTGAAGTGATCCACATGTTTGCTCAGGATGGGGGTATCACCTGCCCGAAATTTGTAAGTGATGGGACCTGACTTCTCGTCAGCCATGCCTCATTCCCATACAGGGCCATTTCCATGGTTCGGGCACCAAACCTCGTCCCCTGAGGTAAATTGTCTCTCTTGCTTAGAGGCAGCATGTCTCCAGCATTGGCATTCCTGCTGCTGTTTCTCCCTCCCCACCAGGTCTGGCAATATCAGGTTTAACCTGGTGCGGAGTCTTCTCCCCATCAGCAACTCTGCCAGAGCTATCCCTGTTGTTGTGTGTGGAATGGTCCTATAGTCAAACAGGAACCGGGACAATTTGGTATCAATTGACACTGTAGGCTGCTTCTTTAAGCCTCTTGAACCCCTCTTTTCACGAGACGTTGGACGATGGATAATATGGAGCTGTCCTTATGTGCCGAATGCTATTTGACTTTAAGAAATATTTTGAATTCCATGGTGGTAAATGATGTTCCGCTGTCCGTGATCAATACTTCTGGGAGCCCATGTATTGCAAATGATGCTCTCAGCTTCCCAATCGTCATCTCGGAGTTTGCTGAGCTAACTTTATGCACGTCCAACCACTTTGAACGGGCATCCACAATGACCAGGAGCATTGAACCCATGAAAAGACCTGCACAGTCGACATCTAACTAAGCCCAGGATTTTCTGGGCCATTCCCACGAATGTGGGGGTGCTGCTGGTGGCAATGCTTGTCCTTGTTGGCAGTCTGGGTACTGCCTCACCAACGCAACTATGTCAACATCCAGCCCTGGCCACCAGACATAGCTTCTTGCTAGCATCTTCATTTTAGAAACCCCTGGATGATCCTGGTCCAGTTCAGCCAATATCTGACAGTGACCTTTACTTGAGACATTCACCCTTGCTCCCCACAGTAAGATGCCATCCTCTGCGGTGATCTGGTTTTGCTGGGTCCGGAAAGGTTTCAGTCTGGGTTGTGATGGCCCTTCTGTTTCCCCCATCATCACCAGCTGTTTTAGTTTCTCTAGAACCGGGCCTTTGTGTGTCCACAGTCAGATATTGTCAGCAATGACTAGAAGGCCGTCCAAGAAGTTTAAAATCAAAACAGACTCTTCTAGGGGAGGCACCACCAGTGGAGTATCTGCCAGTGGGAGGTGGCTTAAGGCATCTACATTAGCCACTTGGCTTCCTGGACGGTGTTCTAACTTGTAAACACTGAGAATAAGGGCTGACTTCTACCCGAAGCTGTGGGCGGCACCACCTTGTCTTCCTTCAGTAGCCCCAGTAGGGGTTTGTGATCTGATACTGTGACAAATTCCCATCCGTAAAGGTACTGGTGGA